CTTAAATTTTTTTTCAACAGTCAATTACAAGAAAACGGCTCGGTAGATTTTCACCTAAAAACTAATCAGTACCATTCCCAACTAATATCTTTCGAACAGTTTTTGATTTTTTAAAATCGGTTTGGTAGGATGAGCTTAAATGTGGACGAAAACTTTAACACTTTTTTTCAAATTACAAATAAACGGCTTGGCAGATCGTCGCACAAAAACGATAGTCCTCATCGAAATACATCAAATGGTCTTTAAATTTCTGTAATCGGTTCAGGTTTTTTTGAAAAAACGTCGATAAAAGGTCCCATTTTGACAAATGCCAAAAAAACGATACCAATTTTTGCAAAACTTGACGTATTTTAATAAAAAATCGTCCCACAAAACTGACAAGAGTAGTACTCGTCGAAGATACATCGAATGGCTTTTAAATTTTTGAAATCGGCCCAGCCGTTTTCGAGAAAACGTCGATTTACGGCAAAAAAATCTGTTCACAATACACACACACACATACTTTTCCAAATTTGGTCTCATTCGATTCAGAATGGCTTGAAACGTCGAGAAAAACATAAAATTAGCGAATCGGATTTTTTGATGAAAACATAAACTTCTCCTTCGGGAAGTTAAAAAATATAGGAAATAACATTTATTGAATAATTATAAGTGAAACTCATTCAAAATGATTAAGCTCTTTTAATTTGAAAACAAACTTTTAGACGTAATCAGTATTTAATATTTTTTTACTTCTCACCTTCATTACGCAATCAAACAATCATAACTATCTATATATTATATAAAAAACTTATTGATTCATCATCTAACACGCTCAAATAAACATCTTTTTTTCATATTTCAAACTTTCTTTTTTTTAATTCAAATATTTGTCCATGCAACAAAACATATATCACAAATTCATTCTCTGCAGCATATTTATAAATAAGATTAATGCATTTAAGAATATTTCTTATAATACCTTCGGGCGAATGACTGTATTTAATGTTGTCACAGGCTTTTGTGCGAGCGTTCATAAATATGAATTAATTCATTCGAGATATCAATTTAAAAAGTCAACTTGAATATTTAATAATAACAATGGATGGGGAATGTTTATGGATTCCGATATTGTACCGTGTTATTTATTATTGGTGCATATCGAAGTGTAATCCTTGCCGGATCGGGAAGATGAACGACGGGTATCAAATGTAAAGTTTAGAGAGAAGATAAATGTTTGATGGATGGAATAAACTTATTTATAATTAAATACTTACTTAGTAGTATAATTTTATATACGAATCTCTGAATATAATTATGATATTATTTAGCAAAAAATATTTGGAAATCTAATCATTTTGTAGTTCGGCTGCTGTCTAAGCAAATTTTTATCTTTAGTCTTGAGCACAACTTGGACTAATTGCAAACCCGGATGTTTCATTTTTGGTAATGAGTGACACAATTTGTTATTTTCCGTTCATGATTTTTTTTGAGAATCTGTGATCAAAAGCTCAAGACAATCCACAGAAACCGACATATTTAGACATTGAAACTTTGTATGTATTTTATCATCGTCGATTGCGGCGGCGTCTCGTCGTGTCAATTGAAATTCCGTCGCTGAATTCAACAAAACCATTCCATTGTTTCTTGTTTGGCGATGCTTTTGTTTTAGTATTTCGTAACGCGCAATCTTTGCCCAGCTCGCATTTTCCAGTTCGATCGAACAATAAGGACGCGGGAGGCGGCCAGACGCGGGCACCTGGGTGTCATTAGCGCTTCGCGGCAGTTCCGCGCGGCGAGGCGACGCTCGGAACGCTCTGTGTCGCGTCGTGATTTTCCAAAGCTTGCCATTGTTTTGCGACGGATAGTGTATTGTGGATTTCACAGAGATGATGAATGAAGAATTTATTTTCTCGTGCTTGAATTTAGCTTAATTTCTTCGAACTAAGCTAAACATTAATAGACTAGCTTATGCTGTTTCTATTAAAAGATCATTTATTTATGATCTAACAGTCATGTTTCTCCAAAACTAGAACTTTTTGATAACTTTATTATATTGATCATATATTGATTTTGATGACTATATTTCATTTACTTTCACAATTACTTTCCTGGTTCATTATTTCTCCTGACTTTTATAATATTTCTCGCTAAACACGAACATATAGGAAACTCCCGTATAACAGGGTAGTTACATTCCAAAAAACTAACGTGTTATGCAAATCCGTGTTATACGGGACAAAGTACTAGTACAAAAAGAGGGAATACGTTCCAAGAATTCACAAAAAAAATACATACCATGATTTCATAATAAATATTGTTATATTAATTAATTTTATAAGAGTAATATATATTGCATTAATTATGTGATTTTTTTGTCATGACTAAAAGTAAGTGCTATCTAACACGATCCTTTTATTTGCACTCCTGTATAACACGGTAGTTACGTTCCAAAAAAGTAGCGAGTAATGCGAATCCGTGTTATACGGGACAAAGCACTGGTACAAAAAGAGGGATTACGTTACAAGAATTCAAAAAAATATGCTACAAACCATGATTTCATAATAAATATTGTTGTATTAATTAATTTTATAAAAAGTAATATATATTGCATTAATTATGTGATTTTTTTTGTCATGACTAAAAGTAAGTCTAACGCGATCTTTTTATTGCAAGATATCTTCATCCTCTGAGCAGTTTTCTGTACTAACTCCAGATCCGTGCATCATTTTTTGCAAAAAATTATATTTGCGTTTACTTGCTGTTAGCAAAATGATATTTATATATTTAACACATGCAAAGTTATATTTAATAAAATTTATGCTCAATTTATTTAAAGAATCTTTATTTAAGAAATATAATTAGTTTGGAATATTTTTTCGATAAGCGCTCGAATAGTAAATATCAATTTACTCATCTTTCGCATTAGTTTCATCACATTTATTGAGCTATTATAAGGCGATTTTGTTAAATTTAGATTAAAAAAAGTTTGATTTTCATAGGAATACTATATTTTTTTTGTTATAACAAACCTGTGTTATAGAAGTACCGTGCTATGCGAGGGTTACCTGTGTTTCTTTCATTATAAGACATTCTATAGTTCTAGTTTCTAATATGAAATCACTACTTTGCTGTATAAAAATTCGAAAATTTTTAAGTTCCACATATTTTGTTTTTCATAATCATTAAGAATGTAGTTATATCATGAGCTTTTGTAACGTTATGCATATTTCAAAACTATTGATTTGTAATTGATTTGCAATTTTGTTTTTTTATATAAATATCTTGAGGTTGGAATATAACCTGGTCTTAGTGATGTCTTAGTGCTTATTTCCAGGGCAAAAATATTGCAAGTAAATAAAATTTTACATCAGAATTAAATCCGAAGTTCAGTTTATTTACTTGCATATAATTATTTATGCAGAATCTTTTATTTTCATCCTGTATATTAAAAGCACGATAATATTTTTCATTTCAACATTTTGCAAATTAAAATATCTGCTAAACCATAAAATTTCTTGAATATACTAATGTTAGCAGACACTCATTTATAAAAACGTGCTTCAAATTGCACATAAAACCACCAATCAACAGATTACCATTACTGTGATTTAATAATACCTATAAATAACAAATAAAAAACAGCGATTACACATGAAATACATGACTTTTAAGTTTCCGTTAATACGGAATCGTTTTGTCATGAAGATTTTTTTATTATTATTGTAAATTATTACTACGCTGACTGATGGAAAGTTGTTTATTGCTTTTTATATCGCTTTATAAATCACAGATAGATGAATTGAAACTTGTAGATAGATGATTTTTATTACGCGCTAACAGTCCGTACTTGATTTCGATCCGACGATCGATAAAATCGA